AGAACGCCCCAGCGAGTGGCGGGTGGAGGAGGAGCAGGCAAGCCGAGGGATGACAGGAAGAGTGAAGGGGGATGAAATTGATGCCACGCCTAACATGGCGCCCAAGGGCAACTGCCCCTTTCAGCCCCTCATCACTAAGCCATTGCTGCTTTGCCATTTTATTCTCAATAAATGTGACATATTGCCATTTCCCCCTGAAAAGATCCCATGTGATTCTTATGAGCATAACATCAGTTCCAGTTAGGGGAAGCTGAGTCCAGTGAACACATAGGATTGTGTGTGGGACTGTACACAAGCTATTGACAGAGGCATCTTATTTCGGTGCCTCGGTAGAGCTGATTTGGTGGTAGAATCACAGAATAATAGAACTGGAAGGAACCTCAAGAGGTCAACAAGTCCAGTCCCCTGCACTCTTGGTACGACCAAGTATCATCTAGACCAGCCGTGACAGGTATATGTGTAGCAACCAGGGCAAGTAACTTGTTGAGTCCTTCCCAAGACTTAAGTAGCAATCAGTTTTTCCTCCACTTATTCCTTGTTTGTCATGGCAATCCATGGCTGCTGATTAGAAGCTCAGAACCTGAATGGCATGGGGCTTGCTTCGTGAGTCTGAGGTGCCTGGGAAGAACTGTATGTGAAACCAGCATCCTTTGTCATGAGCAACAAAATCACTCATGTGAAATTTAAAAAATTAGAGGCATTTAGAAGAGTTGAAGGAGGGACAACAACTTGCAAGGCTTAGGATCTTCATCCATTTCTATCGCAGATCTTGCATGGATCTCTAACTTTTCATTTGCCAGAACACTTTGCACTTCTCCATTTCCGGGAGACTTTCCTAAAACAACCTACTCATCTAGGCAGAATGCCCTACTAGATTGTGAGTTTACAACCGTGAGCTCTTATCAAGAAACATTTTCTTCTTCCCATGTCTGCTGTGACAAACTACATCAGGTGAAATGATTGGGAGGGCGGTGGATGGTGTGAGGACTGGGCACTACATCAATTCCTAGAGCACGGAGGCCACCTCCTCCCAGTACTGGGATAATTGGAGGGTGTGACAGGGGGCTTGCCCTTCACTGCAAAAACCCAGCCCTGAGTGAGGGCTGAGAGCAAAGCCACAGATGAGGCCATTGTTGCTAATGAAGGCCCAGCTGGGAACTATATAAAGAAGGGCTTCTTGAGAGAGAGGAGGGCTGACTGCTGCTCTGAATAGAGAGCAGGAGGGACCTGGCTGCTAGGGAAGGAAGGCAGGACTGGGGAAACTCTGGCCAAGTTAGTTCCCAGGCTGCAGGGCCTGAAGCAAGGCCTGAAGCCACTAGGGCTGCAGAGAGGCAGCCATGGTAGGCAAAGGCAGCAGGTCCAAACCCCTTTGCCAGTGCTGAGTGGCCATTACAGACAGCAGATTGCCCCTGAGGCAAGGGCTAGATGAAGACTAGCAGTGGGTCACTGAGGCAAGTTTGGTACAGGGAAACTGGGTGTTCCCTGGGAGAAGAACTGGGTGCCTCTTGGAGTGTGACGCTGGATAAACAACCCTCCTCCCTGGAAGGGGTCTCAGAGACACTGTAGTAGGCACTGCCAGAGGGCAGTGGCCTGAACATGACACTGTGGTCTGGGGGCGATGCGGTCTGGCACTGGAGAAGGAGTGAGGGGGGAGACACCAGCCAGTGGGAGGTCCCCTGTGGACTGGCAAGAGCTAATTTCCAATGCTATTGGCCAGAGGTGCTGTGGTGGTGAGTGTCTCTGGCCAATAGCATTGGAAATTAGCTCTCACTGTGGTGGTGAATGACAGGGATTTTTGTTACGAAAAATGCTCAGTTTCACTGACAAAAAACTTCCACCTCTACAAGAGACTTTTCTTTTTCTCTCCTTTTTTTTTGTTGACGAAGAGCTAGCGTAGACTCTGCTGTTAGTTCTGTCGACCAAACGGGCGTCTGCCAGTATCCCACAATGCCTGCCCTGATGGCTCTACTGGCTCACACCCCTCCCTTTCAAAGCTCCTGGATGTGTCTGACAGCTGAGTGAGCTGCTCCATTTGGGGGAACAAACAAAGAGCAAATCATTGGAGTGCTCCAGTTCTGTCCTGTGTATGTCATGCACTTAATAGGGAGCTATCTCTTTAAGAGACCCCTGTGGGGGGAAGTGGGAGTGAGTTGTGTTACTGTTGCTGTGCAGATTCAGCACTCTGCTCAGAAGCTTCTGGAGTTGGGTCCAGTAGTTTGGGGTCAGACTTCATGAGCAAGCAGGCAGGGCCGATGCTTTTCTAAGGCCTGTGTGAGCTGGAAGAAGCTAAGCCAGGAGCAGAGAACTGGCTGCTGTTCCTCACTCTGCAGCACTTTGCAGCAGGTGGTGGTGGTGGTAACCCTCTATCAGGGATCAGGGCAATGCTACTTAGAGCTAGGGGAACCTGGGAGGGAAAATAACTTCTGTGTTAATTGGCAGCTTTAAATGCTGTTTTGATTTTAGTCAAACTGTTCTAGTTCACTTTCTCAGTCTGTGTGATTCTTCAGCTCCGCTGTAAATGTAGCAATGGAGAAAGAGAGTCATTTCTATTTTGTTCAGGTTTTTTTGTATTTTCTTGTAATTAGGGTTTCTTTAAGTCTGTTCACTTGTGAGCTACCTGACTAGTATTCAGTGATCTGGCTGCCTAGCAGTGACTGTAGCAGAGGAAGAGTCAGCCTGGACTCCAACTGAAGATTGCCTACAAGCAAGTGGACAGAAACTTCAGGCTCAGCATATGATGCAGATTTGATATCCGAGGCACAAACTGAGACTTTGAACCAAATCTAAGCTCTTGGGACCTTTCAGTCTTTTCTTACTGTGTTTTTTGTGGATTGAACTGTTCAGATTTCACTTTTAGTTTTCTCTTTACTGATGTTTATTGTAATTATAGATATTATTTGTGGGATATAAAATAGCTGTGTACTGTTGTAAGCAT